CCACATATAAGACCACCAGAAACACGACTTGTTGGATAGATACTGATTTAGCCCAAACCTTACCGAGAGGGCAACGGCGTGTCCGATGGATGCCGGCGCGTCGAGGCTGGTGCAACGCGCCACCTGAGATGGCAACCTGATTTCCACACGCGTGGGTTTTCATATAAAACCACATATTTCACGTCCAAACACGACAGAAAAGGGTACATAACGATCCCATTCTGTCAACCGACAACGAATTCGCTTATAAAGTAACAAACGAGCACCTGCAAGCGATCATTCGACTTGACCATCCGCATCGGCGTCCTTTGAAACAAGCTATCTCGGTCATTTGATACCTTATCCTTGCAGGGCATTCGGGCGTCTGTCCAGCTTTTCTTTGCTGCGTGGTCTGCAGGCATGATGCGCTCGCTTTCCATTTAAACCATCGTATTATCTAAGAGAATATAGTAGCATGTGTCCAGCGTGTGTCGGAATCTTCTGGCGTTGTGCCGGCGGCGTGCGGCCAACTGGCTACAGCTTCAAGTATCTGCGCGACACCTGGGAAGAGACAGCCTCAGTGGTGTCGAGCCGCATTCGCCAACTTCTCTCTCGTCGAGCATGAACATGGGGAAGCACAAGAGGCCCGGCTACCCGGTCCGCGATGATTTTTTGCCACGCAATTCGCTCTCGTCAGCGCGCAAGGCTGAGCTCGCGACCTTTGGTGCTGCCGCGTTCGACACGTTTGTGCAAAAGGCGATTGTCGGCGATCGATCGATCGCGTGGACCCTAATTGACGACACGGTGGACCAAATCAAGCTGTATGAAGGCCGCGTCCCCTTTCTTGACAAACGTAGACACTCGATACGGTGCTATATGGGCTCTTCCTCACTTCATCACTAGACGGTCTTCCGTACTTGGCGACGACAACGTTTCCTGGTGAGCTGGCAACCATTGCGGGGCTTCACGGCGCGACGACGCACGCCGACTGCATCGAGTTTATTCGAGCGTATGCACCAGACGTGCTCGACATGGTCGTCCTCGAGATGTTTCCCTCGGCAGCGCGGCCCATGACGCTCAAGTGGAGTGCAGTGGCGAGTCCATGGGCGCTCACCATCAGTGACCGGGACTTTCTCTACCTCGAGGTACCTTTTTTCCCATTTCGGATCGAGGACCAACCAGCGTTCAAAAGATCTCGGATTATTTTCAATTGCCCGACGGACGCCGCGGGTGGGGCTACTGCCAAGTGTCGGTCGAGCTCGCCCACGTGCCATCGCTCCAAGCGTCGGCGCTCAAGCTCGTGCGCGGCGTGCTCTGCCACACGGGTTGTCTCTACATGGAGAGCCTCGTCGACGACGGCTGCGTCGATGTCATTTACCACATTGCGTCCGATTTCCGAGGACGCATTCCATACTGGGCGCGCAAGCACGGTATCAAGAGTCGCGTGCGGCAGCTGCTCTTGCTCAGCGCGACGGCGCGGGAAGACGCGGCCAAGCGCAAGCAGACGATATGCAGCTTGTGCGAGAAGGCCGGCTCGCGGCTCTTTCGCCGACTTCGACAGTGCGACGGCTGCAGCGAAGTGCGCCGAGTTTCGCGCGTCACAGAGATTCTAACGTGCGCGTCTAGATGGTGTGCCCCAAGTGCCGCGAAAAATGGGTCCACGCCGATGGCTCCAGCCGCCGTCTCTGTACGTACTGCAGCTGCATGGACCGGAGCACAAATAGTGTCCGCGTCTCGCGCCGCACCCAAGGCACAGCGTCGTCGACGTCGTTGCCGACACCGCCAAAAAGCTACAGCCAGCGACATATGCCCGCCATCGACTCGGGGCGGAGCCAAGAGCATCGGGCGTCCTTCTCAAAGTCCGAGATGGATCTTTCGTACCTTGGGGCGTACAGCAAGGCGCCGCCGCCAGCTGCGCCGACACGTCAGATTTTGTCGCTGGGGCTGTAATTGCGCGTCTCGTGGCGAGAATGAAGGGTGTATTTATGCGCACATTTGGCACTACAGCATGTATCTCTGGCGCTGAAATAGCGTACATCGTGGTCGTACACACTTGCGGACGTCATCGTCAAGTAGGTGGGTGGTATTTGGTAGGAGCGGTCCAACGTACTAGTACACTGCAGCCGTGGAAGATTTGCCAAGAGTCCTGGATGCACTGCCGTGCACGCTTTTGGGCTGACCGGTGAAGTATCGGCCCCAACCTGCGGTTTCAAAAGCCGTGATGTGCTGGCAGCACCAGAGCGCGTGACGGTTTCGTCGTGGCGCCAATCAGCAACCGCAATAAGATCGCCGCATCTTGCCTCTCCCGAGAAAGCAGGCGGTACGAAAAGTGATTTCGTTGACAGACCGTAGGCCACGTGGTGCGAAGTGATGCGACTTTTTATTAGTATCAAGCTACCCTACTGACGCGTACGTTGATGTCCTTTCCGCGCCGTTTTGGACGGTCTTTGCATATCGCGCGAGATGGTATATCGGAATCGGCCGTTGGTGCGACGAGGGCACGGTAGGACGTCACTCGCAGAACGTACCTCGGAGCTATACGTTTGGGCTATAGGACGTTTACATACTATTAGTGTGCTTGACAAGGTCCATGGCAGTACTGCTGAGCGTCGGTGTGTGCTGGACACGAGCACATGGCGTGCATGATGATGCTGCGTGCTTTTGCCCCATTACCTTAACATCGCCCAATAGTTCGCACAATGTGCAATCCCAGGTGCGGTGCGTGGGTATAGAATTTGGCTCCATCTCGGTGTACCGTGTAGTTTGCTGTCCCAAATCACTTGGTACCCACGCCGCTCTTTCGCGATTCGACGTTGAGCGCGTCTTCCGTGGCGATGAGCGTTCTTTTGATGATTCGTGCTTGATAGACGTCGCTGCCCAGCGGTCAGTGCCTTCTTTGGTGATGTCCTGTCGACGACACTTCGTCCCACGGCGATGGCTGGCGGTACCTAGAAACGAGCTGCAAAGACGCCAAAGACGCGTATGTCCCTGTATGCACTTGGACATCAACTTCAAGACACCTTGTCCTGTCTACGCACGCACACGGTCCAGGTACCGTGCCTCTCAGTGTCCCCGTACCTTTTCATAAGGAAAAACGGGTATAGGGAAATCCAGCGCTGCTCGGTGAGGTGCCGTGCAGAGCTCGGTGGAGCGCGCGACGTGTAGCATATCCGATCCGACGTCGTCGATGTTGCGCCCCACACGTGTTGCTCCATTTCGCGCCATGTGGTGTTCCCACGTGTTGCAGCCTGACGTGTCGCAGCTACCGTGGCCAGTTGACGCTGCGGCGCACACGCATTTTCGGGCCGACAAGTAGCAGCAAACAAGACGATGCCGAGCAGCAGTAGCAGTAGCCGCAAAAAGCTGTACCCGGTCCCGACCGACTTTTTTCAGTGCCCGAAGCTCTCGGCCGAGCAGCACGCGTCGTACATTGGCCTCGGGGACGAGATCCTCCAGACGTTTTTGACGCAGATTGCACTCGACTCGTCCGACGACTGGCACCTCGTCGGCAACCACAGCGACGGCGTCCGCGTCTACGAAGGCCTTCGCCCATGCAAGGACAGTCGTACGTCTCCTTAGGTTTGTGAGATGATGGATCCAAGTTGGTGTAGGCAACCTACTGCCGTTCCGAACGACAACCAAGGTGCACGCGACGCTCACCGAGGTTGCGCTGTTGCACGCGTTCGACTCGCGCGACGAGTGCCAGCACTACATTCACATGTACGCCTCGGACCTCGTCGACATGCTGCCGCTTTACACGTTCCTCGAGCGCACGCACGAGCACCCGCTCAAGCAGACGTACATCAAGTGGAGCGCAGGCCAGAGCCCCATTGGGGTATTTGCGGACCGCGATTTCCTGTACCTTGAGGTACGCAGATGCGCCGCTGCTTTCGACTGTTGACACGCGGGGTGTAGGCGCAAGATGAAGTCGTGCTTGCCGACGGTCGACGCGGCTGGGCGTTTTGCCAGCACTCGATCGCGCTGCCGTCCGTGCCCACGATGGAGAACACGGATTTCAAGCTCATTCGGAGCTGGATGTACCACACCGGCGCCCTTTTCGTCGAGACTGAGACGCCCGGTGTCCTCGATCTCATCTACAACGTTGCGGTCGACTTTAAGGGCTCGATGCCGATTTGGGTGCAGAAGATTGCGCTCAAGCGCCGGGCGAAAAAGATCTGCTCTGTCAAAGACCACGTCAAGAAGATGCGCAAGCTCGCGCAGGTAACAACACCGCCAACGACTCCCGCCCACCGGTCGCAGACGAGCTGCAAGGTTTGCACCCAGCCCGCTGTGAGCCCCCGGTCCTGCGAGTGCTGCGCCGAGGTACAATGTTTCTGCCTCCAAGCGGACTCGCATCATCATCGGTAGGCGGTGTGCGACGCGTGCAGTCGCAAGTGGCGCCGGCGCGGCTGGAACAGCGTGCGCTTATGCCTCGACTGCTGCCCCGAAGGCCAAGAGCCGCCGAGCGACATTCGCGACTTGATGAAGAAGATGAATACCGTTGGCATTGACGGCCCCAAGCTCAAGCGGTACGCGCGCCGGAACGAACCGCCCACGTTGAGCGACGAGCCGGGGCTGGACCTCTCGTACCTCCAAGTCTACCGCAATGCGTCGGTGTCGAGTGTGAGCGACTCCAGCACGGCCAGCAGCTTGTACGATCCCCACTGCATCCCAGAAGAGACAGACGAGCAAGACTGTCGACCATACAAGTAGTCGCTATGTAACATAGCACGTGCGCGATTGCTCTTGTCATGTGCCCCTCTCAATGGCGTTGTTGCTCACGCGTACTGTCCGATTCCAAGCCATTATAGCCGCCATGAGACTCCAGTAGCAAAAGGTCGTCGACACCGGGGATGTGCGATGCGTAGAGGGCTAGGCCGTGAGTGCTCGTGTGGTACTGTAGTATGTAGCGCCGCGACCCAGGACTTTCTGCACCACCAAGCAGAAATAAGTTCTGGGAGATGCGTCGCCAGTTTGCAGTTCGAGTTTGCAGTTCGGTGCTCCACGTGGCACTGTCGCAGCACGGATGACTGTATACATGGATACCGATACACATGCCGACATAGTATTATAGTGACAACCATTATTGTCAACTAATCGATCGACAATATACAAGAGCTCGGCAGTCTGTCCCAGCAACGAAACCAAGTGAATATTCTTACGATCCACATACATTCTGCGCCGTTTTCGACGACGTGCCATTCCGCACTTTGCCATCGGAATGTACAGCGTGCTCCACCAGATTGCCCCGGCGACGATCGCGCGCCGCCCGCGCAACTACTACGCCGTCCCCGAGGTAGGATGCTCTTTGGCTCGCAGGCCATCACGCGTGCGTAGGTCTGTCCGTTCGTAGCGACGCCCAACATCCGCTTTGAGGTTGCGCTGGCCGACGAGACGATGGTGCTTGGGGACAGCCGCGTGTTTCTCGTCTTTGGCACTGCTGCGTCGCCCAAGGACGGCATGACGTCGGCGCAGTCGGCCTTCTTTGCCCAAGACGTGGTCGACGTCCGCTCGGTTATGTTTGACGCAGCGGCGTTTAGCGTGCCGGGGGCGCTGGGCTTTGTGCCGCCGAGCCTCGCTGGCTTCACCGCCGACAATTGCTACGTCCAAGCGTTCATCAATGCGAATCCGCTCGACCCGGATCCGATGACGTGCCCGGGCAACCTGTACAGTGTACCGACGCGCCTCGACTGGTCGAGTCTTCGCGCCGACGCTCCTACCGTGCTGACGCTCACAGCAACCGAGGTTGGCGCCTCTAACGGTTTAGTGTTTGGTCGATGTGCGTAGACGGTCGACGCTACGCCCGAGCCGCCAACATCGGAGGTTCTGCACAAGATGACGATTACGAGCCAGCTCCTGACCGCGCACCATGGCCGCCGTATCGACATGATGGCTGCGATCACGCTGCCGCCGCAGTATGACCCAGCGACCGCCTACCCGACTGTATACAGCATTGAAGGTAGAGCGCGTCACCACAGACGACTAGACAAAAATGACCATTAGGGTTTGGTGGCACCGAGACGTACATGCAGCGGGCGCATGCGTTTCTGGAAAGCGACATGGGTCTGCGCTGGCAGGCAGGCACGTGGCCAGAGGTGCCGATGGTGCGCATCGTCCTCGGCTCGCGCATGACGTACGGTACGACCGCCTTTGGAGTTGCGCAGCGATCGCAAGTGGTACATAGGCCACACGTCGTTTGCCGACTCGGAAACCAACGGCCCGTGGGCCACCGCGCTGGTACTAGACACCGAATTTTGATCGCTTTTGAACATGGACATGTGCGCAGATCACGGAGCTCCTTCCAGCAATCGAGGCCAAGTATCCGTCGCACGGACGCTACCTGTACGCGCGTTGTTGGGGAAGAGAAGTGTGAACGTGGCGTAGGATGGGCCATTCGTCGGGTGGCTGGTCGACGCTCTGGCTGCAGCTGCAGTACCCCAATGTCTTTGATGGGACGTGGAGCAGCGTACGTTTCGGCAGCCACGTGCCTTTGTAAAGTAGTGGTTTGTAGGCGCCCGACCCCGTCGACTTTACGTGCTTTCAGGTAGAGAAATTATGTTGCGACGATACGGACGGCGTGTGTAGTTGGCCAACATTTACCAAGACGACAACATCTACTGGGACCCCTATGGGCGGTATGCTCTAGTTTCTCACGAAGAATGTTGTCACGATCGCGATGGTAGCCAAGTGCCCATGAGTCGCGAGCTTCCTTGGCTCACGGCCAAGCTGGCCAACCACATCGAGTGGGTTTACGGTCGCGCGAATGGCGGGCAGTGGGACGCCTTTGTACGAACTAGTCGCCGACAAACCGTTGGCCAGCGTATGACGAACTGTCTATGTAGCCTGCCATCTTTAGCCCCCGACGCAGCGATGGCACACCAGCGCCGCTCTTCGACAAGGTACCTACTCCGTCGTTTAAGCTTTTCACGAGCAAAGCCATAGGTTACGGGCGAGATTGATCGTGAAGTTGCCTTTGCGTGGAAGCGCTTTGACATTTGCCGTCTCTTAAGAGCGCAACCCGAGCTACTGAGCACGACTTTGGCAGGTGACTCACGACACACGTGGTCGTTCGGAAGATGACAATATTGTCGTGTCTAGGCAAGATCCACGTTGTGTGCGGCCACGAGGATACGTACTACTTGGACCGCGCGTGTCGCAAGCTCCAAGTGCTCGTGCACGCGCCGGCGTCGCAAGAGAGCGGCAACTACGTGCACATGGTCCCCGGCAACCACAGCACCATCAAGACGCAGGCGCTGTTTGATGGCTTTTTTGCCGAAATTGCCGCCGCCCATCGCCAGAAATACGAGTCCAAGTAGATAACCCTAATCGTTGAGATAACCCTACCCCGTGCCGATCTTCCTTGCGATAGCGCCGGTTGGATGCCAACACTGCTCCTTTTTAGTAATACTGGGATTGGACTGAGGTTGGACCGGTAGCTTTGTAGGTAAACCACCACGTACTCGACTAGAGAGTGCTACCGCGAGTTGTCAGTCGGTCAAGGGGAGCGCATATTGGGCTCGGGCCGCCAGCCACGACTCGGGAGGCAACGATGATTTGTGCAGTCGCAGCCGCACGACACGCCAGCCTTTCACGTCCAGCGCCACGATCTCGTCGCGGCTGCTCTGGTACGTGAGGATGCCTGTGAGCAGCGCCGAGGCGCGGTCCAGAAAGTACGTTTCGTCATGCACCCACGGCGCCGATACAAAGAGGTACCGCGCGCCGGCATACAGGTAGCGCGAAGCGACGGTGTTATACACCGGGGCTTTGACAAGGTACCGCGCAATCAAATACGTGAGCAAACTGGACGCAAAGACGGTCACGAGCAGCATAAGCAGTCGATTCTGACTGCCAATCTCAAGGACTCCGCTGTCGCACACAATGGTGTCGTCCATGCGGCCGATGTTACACGCGTTTCGAACCGACGCCGAGTGCGACACGGGCTTGAGCAAACTGGCAGCGCCGGCAAGGAACCAAATCAGACACGCATTCGGCGTCGCGTAGTAGCTTGTGTACTGCCGGGTGTAGACCATGGCTACGTCGTTGACGATCGTCGAGAACCACGTGACTTCGCCGGCCGCGAGGAGCGTCGTGAGCACCGGCATCGGCGGCACGATAAACCGAGTCAGAAACCCGGTAAAGTCGAGTTCGAGCGTCGCGGTGGAGAGGAGTGCGATCGCCGTCATGGAGCGCAGCAGCAGCATCGGTCGTCCGACCCACACGACGGCGCCGACGCGGTTGATCTCAAAGACGTTGCCGCCCTCAAAGTGCCCGCGGCTCTTGATGATGTAGACGACGACACAAATCGCGACAGTGACCAAGACGCCGCTGACATACAAGACGCCCGACCGAGCGTACGATGCAATCGCACGGGGCCACTGCCAGAGCGCCACGGGCTGTTGCAGTGGCTCGTTGTATTCACTCAGGACGGTGAGGCTGCCCAGGTCGCCGGTGAAGCGAAGGACATCGCGCTGCCCGAGGACCCAGTCGCAGAGGAACCACCAGCCAAAGAAATGAAACGACTTGTCAACCGGGTCAATGACGTTGGCTGCGAGTAGTGTCATCGGGTCGGACGGTGTGCTGGCGACAAACTGAACGAGCTGAATGTCGAGGGCAGAGACGACCGCCGTCGCCGTCGCCACGAGCGTCGAGGACACGAGCGGCAGCAAATGACGCGTGAACTGGATCGTTTGGTCGAGGTACGCGAGGCAGCCAGGTACGTTGGTCACGTCTTGAGCACAAATGGTGCTCAGATTCAAGTTTGGTTCGGCTGCGATGCCCGAGAGAATCGCCGATAAGAGCATATACTCGCGGCTGGGCTGCACTTGGGTGTAAATACCATTGGACGAGCACACGAGGCTGTAGCTTGCGAGGTTGACGATGCCAGCGATGACGCGGTTGTCGCCGCTTTGCGCGAGCTCGCTGCAGAGAAATGAGCCACCGTACGCGTTGAGATTGGGCATCTGAAGCCACGCGGCGGGTACGGGGTGTACGGCGCTGCTGGTCGCAAACCCAAAGTAGGCGGCTTGCAGCGTCTTGTTGGTGGCGATGGTCGCTCGACCAACGGCCGCAATCGAGCGCACGATCAACAAGATGTCGTGTGGCACAGGCACCACGTACACGTCGATCGAGCCAAACGGGCCAAGGACAGACCGAACGAGTGAGAAGACGGCGTTGAACGGCGTACTGAGCGTTTGGTCTGCGATCAAACGCGCTTCGATCGAGTCGTTACCATAGACATAACGCGAGCTGGACCGAAGCAAACTGGGTGTCGTCGCATTGGTACGGGCCACGCCCAAGTCGTTGGCGAGACCCCAGTACATTTTGAAGCTAGTTTGCAACGGAATGCGAGAGACGCTCGGCTGCGTCTGCAGTGTGAACGGGTAGAGCACGCCAAACGCGTTCGAAATACGATACTGATTGGTGATGCCGATGCGCTTGAAGTTTTGCCACTGCGGTGTGTAGTGGCTCACGTTGAAGCGACGCCAGTACGCTACCTCGTCGGCCATCGCGCCAAATGGCGGCGACCCCGCGTACAGCGTACGGTCCAGCCACGCGACGCCGTCGGTCGACTGCTGCAGTTCGCTCGTGAATGCGGCTCCAAAGGCGTCTCCCCAGCAGTGCAAGAATGCCGCCGTGTCGATATTGCGCAAGGTAAGCTCCAGAAACACAGCGCCGTTGGTGGTCATGGACGTACAGCGGCGCTGGCGGGCAACCGAGGCGGCCATGCCCCAGCGCTGCTGCACATCCACGTAGCAGTACGCTGTAAAGATCCAAGGCGCATCGCAGCCATTCGAGGCACGGAGTCCTTGGATGGCATCTTGGATCAGCGTGAGCTGCGTGTACTGCAACCGAGCGCCGTAGCTGGCCGACGATGCGACCATGGCGCTCGCGTCGGGAAACTTACTGGGCCACAAAATGTCCTGTCGCGTGAGCTCGGTCACGTCGCTCGTCACGCCAAGAATGAGCTGCTGGTTGAGCCAATTCGCAAAGAGTGCATGGGCGCCCGTCAACGAGAAGGTTGCCCACCATAGGTCGTTGGCCAAGTTGACGTTGGCGAGTTGCATGTACGAAATGCTCGTGACGACACTGGCCAAGACAAAGCCGAGACCAGCGACGGCCCAAAACCCATGAGCGGCCCGGGACCCGGCAGCTGTCGTCAATTCGGGGGCGCGAATGTCCGTGATCCCGGTCCGACGAGGCCGGAGCGATCGCTGGTGGGCACACGACCGCGTGTCTTGCAATACGAGCCAGAGTTTAATGTCAAACGTGTACGCAACTCCATGCAGCGACAGCGTCAACAGCCCCGTCATCGCACACGACGCCGGGTCCATGCTCCACTCGCGGGTGCTCGGTGGCCGGAAGTAGGCGTCGGCAGCCCCCGCGACGACGATCGGCGAGGGTGCGTGGCGTCGGTACTGCCGCGTGCGCGCCGTGATGGCGACCGCCACGAGCGCCGCTAGCACTTGAACACTCACAAGCTCAATGAGACGAATTTGGTTGCCGACGAAAACCGTGCCGCTCTCGCACACGAGTGCAAAGTCCATGTTTTGACTCACACAAGAGCGCTCCAGATACGTCGTCGTGCGAATGGGCGATACAAATTCCAGAAGCACCGTGCCCAGCCAGGCCAGGAGACTCCCGATGGGGCCATAGACACTGGCTTCGTACGTGGTTTGCACCATGGTCATACCGAGCAAAATGTAAATCAACCACGTTGTGTCGCCCGCGAGCACGAGCGTTGCGAAGTGGGACCGCGGCGCAAAGCCAAATCGATTTGCGCCGGTACCATCCGTGTGCAGCGCCGTCTGGGACGTACTAAGAATCGCAATCGCAACCATGGACCGCAAAAGCAAAAAAGGCCGACCGATCCACACAGCGCCGACCGCGCGATGGAAGAAGATCAAATTGCGGCCCACGACGTGGAGGCGTGTTTGGAGCGCGTAGAACGTGACGAGACCGCCCACGACGCACTGCAGACTTGAGAAATACGTCAGCAAGTAGTAGACGCCCTTGGACGCGGATTCCACCGCAGTGGCTCGACCCAAAAGCACGACATCGCCATACGATTTGTGGGCTGTTGAGACGAGCGTGACGCGACCCGCATCACCCTCGAGCGCCACGACACTACGTTGCTGCAAGAGCCAATCGTGGACAAACAGCCAGCCGAAAAAGTGCCAGCTCGACGTCGTCACCTCGACGAGCGGCTGCCGAAGCAGCGTCCAACTGTGATTCATGTGTTGTGCAAACTGAACCACTTCGGCGCCGACAAGCGCCGTGTCGAGAATCGCCGCATCGCGCTGGACTTGGAGTGTCGTTGGTAGCTCGACCATGCTGGCGAGCTGAGCTAACACCGGCACGATGATGCTACACGCCGACGGCGTAGCGTCGAGGGTGCAGATCGAGGCAGTTGAGAATGATCCATTGTACAAGACAGCGGCAAACAGTAGCGCATCGCGCGTCGATGCAAGGTTCAGCGGTGGTGGGTCGTTCCCACTGCATGGCGCATCGAGGTTTGCCGTATCTTGCACAAATGACGTCGGTGGCTGCGACGCACACATGGGGTTCCCGCCGTAGTAGGTCCATCCTTCGCTTGCCCACGTCGGCGGTACCGGTGTCCACTCGGTCGTTGTCGGTAGCGCGTTGTACACTCTCTGAAATGCATCGTTGTCGGTCTCCACCGACACCAAGAACGGTAGAAGGGACGCATGGAGCGCAAGCAAAGAAGGTGGGAGGGCGACAAACCACGTATCGACCGACGGTAGCGGACCAATGGTCGCCTGCACAACGGCTGACTGGTTGCCCGGCGTCGGGTAAAAGTTGGCCCACGCTTCGATCGAGATGGCGGGCATCGACGACGAGAGGTTCGCGCCAAAGTAATTTGCACTGCCATACACAAGACTCCGATTTAGCGTCGACATGAGCCACATGGTGTTGTACGGGAGCCAGTACATGGGCAACGACGTCCACGGCCCCGACATGCGCGGAAGGAGCTTGAGCGTCACCTCGTGCTGCCACCCCAGTGCGTTCTGGATAGCTATGGTTTCCGAGATGCCCGTGAACCATCGATTTTGCCACTGCAGTGTAAAGTGCGTCAGATTGGCTTGCCTCCACACAGCGATTTCGTCGTCGATCGAGGTTGTCTTGCGGGCCGACGCGGTGGTTTCGAGCCAGAGCCGACCGTCCCGCGTGGCCTCGAGGCTGGTTTTGACCGCAACGTTAAAGTATTGACCCCACGCAAACTCAAAGGCTGTCCAGTTGGCATTGCGCAGCATGGCCTCGAGGTACACGGCGCCATTCGTAGCGTACTTGGCCGCACACCGCGCTTGCCGTCGTCGCGTGTGGGCGATTTCAAACTTTTTTTCAAAGTCGACATAACAGTACTGCGTGTTCATGCGCAGACTCCACGAGGCTTGAAGCGTCCGAAGGTTGGTGATGGCGTAGGCCACTGTGTTGAGTTCGTTGAAGATCAAATGCTGGGCATACGCGGGCGTCGGTACCGTTGCTTCGAGCGGCCCGCCGCTCTCGACGTCGATGTAGCCGGCTCTGCGCGTCACGAGGGCATTGTTGATGACGTCGACGAGGTGCGGCTCGTAGCTCGAGACGTTGTAGTGCGGCCACCACGTGTCGCTGCTGAGACTCGGCACGGTCAGCGACAAAAAATAGACGCTGCACGCCAGCGAGAGCCAAATGTACACAAGACCACCAACGACGCCGAGTCGGTGGCGAGGCTCCCACGCGCGGAGAAAAGACAAGCGCGGGGCGTCGACGGCAGTCGCGTCACTGGTCGTCGGCCCTGGCGCGACGCGGTGCCCCATGCTGCTGCTTGGGCAATAGAAACGCTTTTCTTTTCGAAACCGCGCCATAAGGGACACGACAGGTTCGTGATTATTGTAACCACCGACACGCGAGGTCTCCGCGTCCAGATCACAGAGAGATAGCAAAACAGGAGAGGCGGGCAGCTAGCAACGTGGTCGTGCTATCAAGTAAGTTGCCATGGCGGTCACAACGGTGATTTGCAGCAGCACGGGATCATAGGGGTAGGGCAATTAATATGGGGGTAGGGTAGGGGTAGGGTTGCTCTTCGCAAGCAATTCTTTGGCGAGGGGTATTACGTGATTTACCCTACGATTTTGGCTTGATAGCGAAACAGAGGTTTTCGTTTCGGCGACGAGGCTCTGCGCGTTTGACAGGTCTTGATGCGTTAGCTGACGGCTGAAGGAGGCTTGCGGTGGCTGATCTTGTGCTCGGTGCTAGGTGCTTATGGTGCTTTAAAGCTATTCTGACGTTGATACTGGGTCCCTTTGCGGCTCTTTTTTGGCTTGGACGCGTCTTGCCCGTGTCGTTTTGACGCACCATTACCGCGAATGGACCACCTTGCTGATGCATGGCCATGACACGACTGTAGTTCAAACCGTATTATATTTTACGCAAGTGTTATGCCGTAGTTGCCGGCCTTGCCCATGCCAATCATATTTGCACCTTTGTTGAGCAGGATGTCGGTCGACGCCGTCCAGAGCATTGTGCCGCCGTACTTTGCGGCGCCGTCGGTCGCGTACCCGACAAGCTGTGCGCTCGAGGGGCTGGCGCCGTATGAGCACGCGCCTTGGTCTTTCGGTGTCCCGACGCAACCGCCCATGATCAGTTTCGCCGGCGGAATCGCAGCGGTCCACAAGGTCGGCACGGTCGTTGTGAGCAGCGTGTCGTACGTCACCTAAGCAAGCGAGATGAGAAAATGTAGAGGTTTGTGGGAACAGCGTACGCCCGTCTCGGCATTGTAGGCCATAATGTTCACTTCGTCAACGAGGGACGCCAATGCTGGGTCAAAGCAGCGCTGGTAGTCGCCACTAGGTGTATTGCAGGTCGGGTCCAGCGAGGTGAAGAACTCGTCCCATGTCAAGCCGTACGCGGGTTCTTGGCTCTTGCGCGGAAGCGCGTTCAAGTTGGTGCGGAGCGACGTGAGGTATGAGGCCACGTTGGGCGACGCGTTTGTCTTCCAGTCGCCTTTGGCGAGCAAGTTGCCGCTCTCGTCGTCGACGTCGATGCCGTCAAACCCAAACCTACATGACGTCCAAAATTTAGGAAAAATGACTAGAAATCGAGCGAAACTAAACGTACTTTTGCACGAGCGCAGCGGCGGATTTGCCAAACGCAGCAATCTTGGCCGGTGTATTCAACGACAGAAAGTTGGCGCGCTCGGTTTGCCCGCCAATGCTCGCGTACTGCTTGACGCACTTTCTACAAAATTCCGTTCATCGATGCGGCAACAGAGGATCAAAGCGCGGTACTTTTTGATGGCGTTGACACACGTCTGCAGCGTCGCATCGTTGCCTTGAAACGTCTGTGCGACTTCGCCCGTTTGGTTGTTGATGAGCGCAAAACCCCAGTAAATGTGGGTAATGTACTGGAAGGCATCGCTCTTGACAAACTAACCACGCGCATAAGCCTTCGCCGTGTGCAAGAGGACAATAGGTACATCGAGGCAGCCGTCCGTGTACGTCTGCCAAAAGACGGCAAACGTTTTGCCGGGCGCCGGGCACGCGACGCAGTCGTTCTTGCTGTTGGCGTAGTACCCGCGGTACGGACACGTTGCGTTCTTGGTCGGTTTGCCCGCCGGCTTGGCAGCGTCGTTGGACGACGACGAGCTCTCGGCAAAGATGCCTGTGTGCGTAAAGTACGTGATCGCAAAGGCGCCGCCCGTGATGATGACGGCTAGAGGTTGGTGAGTGCAATGACAGTGCAAGAGGACTTGGGACGCACCAGCACAAAAGAGCGGCCACCAATGACACTTTGCCATGCTTGGAACGAAAGGCAAACTGGCAATCGCGGGCAGCGAAGCTTGAAAAGGCAGGGCGCCAAACGTCATGGACATTCGACCAATCAAAACACACGGCTGCCGAGGCGTAGCCAATCACCAGCGAGAAAAGTGTATCTGTAGAAATTTGACGAGCAGATGCTGCGCAATGTGAAAAATCTGCCTTGAAGTTGTCATGGCCATTGAATGAGCCGCGAGGTTGCCGCCGCGGACGAAATTTTGGCCATGAGGTTCGTCTGGAAGCTGCTGAGTGCTGCAGGTGGGCGGTTCAAAGCTCCCGTGGACTCGTCATGGTCTGGAGCGACGAAGTTTGTAGAAACCCTTCTATCCTCTAGCTGTGTGTTGGAAAAAAGAAAGGCTTCGTGTCAGTTGACGCTCCAGGCTCGCCTCGAGCTCGTCCGGCGGTGCCCTGCTACCGGGCGAGTCCGCCTCATTTGTGGGCTAGGCTGTCGTGGCTCGTCTTGGACCCGACAGGTTGGCCGCTGGCCGCCGACACCCACAGATACATACGACTATTTGCGTCACGGCGAGACGTGTCCGTGCAGCGTCAAAGACACGCTCGCCCAACCCTCAACTCTTGATGTTTTCGTAAAGATGCCATAAACGGAAGTCATGATATTTCATATACATTCATTGCCACAAGAGAACAAAGGGTGACGTTATGTACAGCAATATACATTTGGCAACAAAAGTAGCCGGACAGTACTTGGTGCTGGTCGTCCTAGTCGTCGCAGTCGGCATTCGAGCCGTCCCACGAGCTCGGCTCTGAGTTGGCCCATGAATCGGGCTCCGAGTTGGTCCACGAGTCAGATCCCGACCCACTGTCACTTGGTGTCGTCGTTGGGTCCAAGGTAGGGTCCGAGGTAGGGTCTGAAGTTGGGCTCGCGGTCGGCTTGTTGGTGCAGCCAGCCGCCGCCAGCGCAGCGTCCAGACGACCACTGCTTTCCAGCTTCTTTAACGCGTCCAGGCCGCCGATGAACTTGCCGCCGAGCCAAATGTTGGGCACCGTGTTCTGATGCGTGCGACTCTCGAGGGCGCGGTAGATCTCTTGGCCCGTCGGAGTCGTTGACGAGTCTTGAATGTCACAATAGCCAAAGTGCGCACCTTTGGACTTGAAGAAGGCCTTGGCTTGGGTGCAGTACGAGCAGCCTGCAAAGCCAAAGAGCGCGCAGCCGTTGTCTTTGGTGAACTTGGTGATCCAGTCATCCGGGCTGGTCGCTCGGAGGGCGCGGTGGGCCGAGGCAGAGTTGCATACCATCAGGGTGGCAGCGGTGAGAGAGAGAAGCGTCGAGACGGACGAGAGCATCTTGGGGAAGATAGAAAGTTGGTTTGTGAGCAGGCTGCACAAATGCCTCGACTCGCCACCACATGTGGCGCGTGGCCCGACGTTTTCGACTCTTGAGTAGGTCGTTGTTTCCAGACGCCATGGCTCACAGTGGTATATGTCCGACATTCCCCTTGACGCAATGACGCGGACCAACTTTGTGGCATTCGACGGAAACACACGGTAATTATGTTGCCCAAAATAAGTTGAAAGCGATGGTGTGCACGGTCATTTGGATGTATGCAGTGGTTGAACACTCCAAGTTCCGGGCCATGGACATCCGGAGACGGTACCGGAAAGCAAAATGGGACACAAGTTGGCGCAACGGTGCCAACACGACGAGCCCCATTCGAGTCTGTAGTTGTCAACGTTTTTGGAATCCGTAGCGGGCCATCGACATGACACGTCGGTGGTACGCACGAAACTGGCTAGGATTCCTCGCCATCATCACATCTGACTCTGTCATCGCATGATCCCACGCTGGACTGTCCGCGAAGAATGTGGTAATGACATTCGAATGGTTTCGATGCAAGATTGCTCTCCGCATCGAACGTCACCCGCCATGTGCGGTGCACACGCGTCCTGCATAATAATCTGTCTCGGAACGTATGGTAGTAAAACACCGTTATCGGCTTCAGACATATGTTTTCTTGCTTTGCGCTGAGCCAATGAGGCCTCAGAGATCCCACAAAATTGCAAATCATGCTCGATAGATCACGGGCGTACACGAAACCAAATCACATCCGATGTATAGCACATGCATGCAGCGCTTTCGATATCACTACGACTGTCGGTAGTATGGTATACCAGTGTAAGTGGTATGCCGAGCCGGTTTCTGAGCCTTCAAATTGCAGTACGTCAGTAACATATGATTGTTCGCTTCACTTGCTACGATCCATCGGCTAGCTATTCTATGTCGACAAGACCAATAGGTACGTAGTTGCCACGGGTAGTTACGACTTTGGTTTTCGGCCACTGCCTTTACAGGACATATTCGCAACGTAATTTTCCTTCTTCTCACGATGCTCTCGTCCGTCTCGACGCTTCTCTCTCTCACCGCTGCCACCCTGATGGTATGCAACTCTGCCTCGGCCCACCGCGCCCTCCGAGCGACCAGCCCGGATGACTGGATCACCAAGTTCACCAAAGACAACGGCTGCGCGCTCTTTGGCTTTGCAGGCTGCTCGTACTGCACCCAAGCCAAGGCCTTCTTCAAGTCCAAAGGTGCGCACTTTGGCTATTGTGACATTCAAGACTCGTC